GATTAGACCTATTCAATTAAGAGAAACACATAGTGTGATGTAAGAGTAAGTGAGCTCTAGATAACATGAATATGAATGGGTTTGATCAAAAGCAGTCATAGTCAAGAGTGAACAACCAGTCACAATTACTTTAACAGAACAGGGAGAGAAAACTCTCTGTGTATTGTTACAGCTTCGTCGCCAGAATGCCAACAGGCTCCAGGTTCTCAAACACATGATACAGGTTGGTCCAATATTTAACATTTTCAGTGTGAATTTTTCTTTCTTCCAAGTGCTGTTTAATCCAGTGTTATTTTACTAAACTACAGAGTAGAGCTCCTGTGATCACCTGGGAATGGGCTCTGAACACCTTCAGAATGGAGGTTGACGATCTGCTGGATAAGTCACTGACAAGAACCTCAGCTCAGTAAAACGCTGGACAGTGGTGTAAGATAGAGCCCAGGGCTGGTCACTTGGTTTATTAAGTCAAATAATGGGTTTCTGTTAAATATAAAATTTGAAGAATGTACAGAAGGAAATCAGAAAGAAAGCCAGTCTCACTCATTCTCCAACCACAAGACTCTACATGACTTAAACCAGCAAGAAAATGGATCCAGAGAAGGGAATAACAAATTCTGTTTAGCAAAAAACACAGCAAACCAAACTATAGACTTATAAAAACCCAAGGGGCAGAGGCCTTTATAAATTAGTGTGAACTGTGTGTAGGCTTTTATTTTAGAGCCGGTAAGCAGCTTAGATGTTGATAGTGAGGGACTTTGGAAGAGGTCTAGTAAGTAGCTCTAAGAGGAGCTTAGGCTTTTGTTTGCTTTTGAGTATTTATTTCTTTTCACTTTAAATACAATATTTTTTAACCTATGGCTGTTTTGTGTTTGTTTTACTTATTTATATCTATCAACCTGCTTACAACAGGTGTGTTGTGTGTCCTTCTTGGACATTAATTCTACAGACATATTACACTGGCAGGAGTTCTCCTGCCATCTCTGACTGTCCCTTTAATATCATGTTCCATTTTAGGGTATCTGCAGACACTGAAAGACAAACACAAGGAAGCTTTAAAGAGGAAGTTTGAGGTTGTGTCTGAGGGAATTGCTAAGCCAGGAGAGCAGACCCTCCTTGATGACATCTTTACACACATGTGGATAAGTGAGGGCAGCTGTGTTGAGGTGAATCATGAACATGAGGTCAGGCAGGTAGAGACCGTCTCCAAAACCAAAAAATCAGAGATTCGCTCCATCAACTGCAGCGATATTTTCAAACCACTGCCAGGACAGACCAGACCCATCAGGACTGTAATGATGAAAGGAGTCGCTGGCATCGGGAAAACATTCTCTGTGCAGAAATTCATTCTCGACTGGGCTACTGGAAAAAACAACCAGGACTTCGATTTTATATTTTTTCTTCCATTCCGTGAATTAAACTTGATCAAATCAGAAATGAGTTTACGGGAATTGGTTCTGTGTTTCTGTCCAGAGATAAAATCCTCTGATAATGTTTTAGATGGCCACAAAGTCCAGTTCATCTTGGATGGTCTGGATGAAAGCAAATATCCTTTGAACTTTAAAACAAATCAGAGGTGGTCTGATGTGAAAAAGCAAGCTTCAGTGGACGTGTTGTTAACAAACCTCATCAAGAGGAACTTTCCTGTTAAT